CACTTCTTCATCCGAAGAAGTGAGGTTTTAACTCACGAAAGCTTATGCCCAAATAAATCTGTTAGTCTTTAAGGTGCCACCAGACTCCTTGTTGTTTTTGTAGATACAGACTAACACGGCTACCCCCTGATACTTAAAGTCCTGTCAGGAATGTCTGTGTCCATGTCCTCCTCACAATCATCCTCCTGCTGGCGGCTCCTAGCCAGGTTCTGCACATACTGCAGGATAATGCGCGAGGTGTTTACTATGCTCACAGCAACAGCGGTGAGCTAAGCGGGCTCCATGCTTGCCGTGCTATGGCACCTGCACGGGTAACCCAGGAAAAAAGGCGTGAAATTATTGTCTGCCGTTGCTTTCATGGAGGGAGGGAGGGGGTGGAGACTGACGACATGTACCCAAAACTACCTGCAACAATGTTTTTGCCCCATCAGGCATTGGGAGCTTAACCCAGAATTCCAATGGACAGCGGAGACTGCGGGAACTGTGGGATAGCTACCCACAATTCACTGCTCCATGAGTCGATGTTAGCCATTGTATTGAGGACACACTCCGTTGATTTAATGCCCTTAGTGGGGACACACACAATCGACTGTATAAAATCGCTTTCTAAAGATCGACTTCTATAAAATCGACCTAATTTTGTAGTGTAGATATACCCTTAGATCTTTCCACCATAGAGAGAAATAGTCTAGGGGACTTCCTGAAGGCCTTTGTCCTATGGAGGTAGAATACAAGGGCTCTCCTAAGATGTAAGGTGTGTAGTATGGCCTCCCTATTGTTTCGGTGAGGCGTAGGGTAGAAGGCAGGAAGGTGAATAGACTGATTCATGTGAAACAAGGAGATCACTTTAGGGATGAACGTGGGATGCAACCTAAATGTAACCTTGTCAGGAAAGAATACTATATACGGGGGATGTGCCATCAGAGCTGCTATTTCCCCTATTCTTCTAGCCGCGGTAATTGCAAACAGAAAGACCATTTTCATCTATAGATGTGCTAGCAAAGAGGTGGCCATAGGTTCGAAGGGGGGCCTAGTCAGCCCTTTCAACACTAGGTTTAGGTCCCACGAAGGGGAAGAAAGTTGAGGTTGAGGGAAGAGGTTTGTTATTCCCTTAAGGAACCTCTTAGTGGTTGGGTGTGATAGTATTGAGCACCTAAGTTCCCTCTAAGCTGTGCAGCTGCACAGCAGGCTATAAAGGGCCACGCAGTCACGCAGTCACAAGGGCCTGGAGAGTTAGGGGTGGGGGCGGTGACTGGAGAGGGGAGCAAGCTGGGGCATGCAGGGCTGCCGCGGGCCTCTCCCCCAGCCCTGGAGCTCCTGCCACTGGAGAGGCACCTCGGCTCCAGCCCCAGAGCTCCTGCCGGCAGGGAGAGGGCTGGGGGGAGTTGTTTGGCCCCAGCCCCAGGGCACCCTGGCCCCCAAACTCCTCATCCCCAGCCCCACCCCAGAGCCCTCATGCCCAGCTAGAGCCCTCACCCCTGCACCCCAATCCTCTGCTCCAGCCCTGAGTCCACTCCCTCATCCTTCATCCGAGCCCCACCCCAGAGTCTGCACCCCGAGCCAGAGCCATCACCCCCCTGCACACCAAGCCCAAACATCTTCCCCAGCCCCTAGCCCCCTCCCACGCTCCAAATCCTTGGCCCCACCCCCCACCACACATCACCTCCATATTGGTACACATAACAAAATTCATTCCGCATGTGGATGTAAAATATTAGCGGGAACATTGCTGAGTACCCTTCTAAGGTTTGGTGAAATGCTGTCATAGCTGCTAGGTGGACCCTGAGCAAGCTCAGGAATAACCCCAATTTGTAAGGGTCAGGACATATTCCAGAATATGTGGAAGAGTTGCTGACACCAGAGAGATCTGTTGGGACATGCACCAAATCTAGAACCTGGACCATTTCTGCAGGTAAATGCGCCGTGTGGCGGACTTTCTGCTGTGCAGTAGAACCTCTTGCACTTCCTCTGAGCATGAGCTGTCTAGGTGCTGGAACCACATAGGAGCCATGCCTTGAGGCGAAGGATCCCCAAGTTGGGATGTGTGGTGTTCCCTTTGTCCTGAGAGAGAAGGTGCGGAGTGGCCAGAAGGGAGATCAGTGAGCACATCACAAGCTGCATCAGGCAAGGGTACCAGGTCTGTCTTGGACACATAGGAGCAATCAGAATTACATGAGCTCCGTCCCTCTTTATCTTCAGCAGGATCTTCAGCAGAAGAGGAAATGGAGGGAAGGCGTAAAGACAGTCCTTGTCCTGGGGAGAAGAAGAGCATTGCCAAGAGAGTGTCCAATCCCCCCCACCCCAGAACAGTATCATGGACACTTCTTGTTCTGGTAAGTGGTGAACAGGTTTGCGGATGGTGTTCCCCACCAGGTGAATAAGTCATGAAGTACTGACGAGTGCATCTCCCACTGGTGGTCATGCGGGAATGTGTGACTGAGTTTGTTCACTATCTTGTTGTGCATGCCCGGGAGGTCAGCCATGTACAAGGAGATGTTGTGAGAAATGCACAGTTCCACAGTTTCATTGCCTCTGTACAAAGAGAGGGCGATCTGGCTCCTCTGTGGTGATTGAAATAATACATACAGGCTATGTTGCCCATTAGGATCTTTATATGCGACCCTGTTATCAGTGGGAGGAAATGGGCGCAGGTGTTCCTGCCTGCTCTCAACTCAAGGAGATTGATATACAGGGATATCTCCATTTGCCTTCCACTGTGAGGCCGTTTAAATGCGTGCCCCATTCTATGAGGGATGTGTTGGTGGTAAGGAACAACAAAGGTGGTGCCTTTGTCTACAATGGCTGTGTTCTTCCACCAGTCCAAGGAGATCCTGATCCGGGTGGGCAGTGACAGGGGTCTGGCCAGACTGTCCCCGTTCGGTCTGTGAACCAAGCTGAACCACAGCTGTAGGCATTGCATGTAAAGTTTGCTGTATGAAATCACCGCTGTGTCGGTTGCCATGTGCCCCAGGAGCTGGAGACAGATTCTAGCTGGCACTCAAGGGCTGCATTGAGCTATTTCTATAAGCGATACCAGGGATAGAAACCTGTCCTGAGGTAGGAAGACTTTGGCCTGTCCTGCGTCTTAGGTCAGCCCCTATGAATTCCAGGTGTTGCACTGGTGTAAGGATTGATCTCTGGGAATTGGTCTGTAAGGCCAACTCTGTGAACAAGCGTATCATGTCCTCGGTGGCTTGACAAGCCTCCAGAAGCAACTGGGCTCTGAGGAGACAATCATCCAGGTACAGATAGATCATTATCCCTTGGGCTTGTAGATGGTGACTACCACTGAGAGAACTTTGGAAAATACTCTTGGGGATGATAAAAGTCCGAAGGGGAGGACCCTGTATTGGTCATGGTCATTTCCCAGAGTGAACCTGAAGAAACATCTGTGAGCCAGTAGTATTGAAAGGAGGTGTCTTGTGCGTCAAGGGCCAAACACCAGTCTCCCTGTTCCCGTGACAGAATGATCGTCAATAATCTGACCATCTTGAACTTCTGAGCTTTGACAAACTTGTTGAGAACTCTGAGGTCCAGGATGGGTGTCTAACATCCCTTCCTTTTCTGTATTAGGAAGTAGCAAGGGTAGAACCCTTTGCCTTGTAGATGTTGAGGTATTGGTTCTATGGCTCCTAACTGCAGGAGGCAATCCATCTCCTGCATAGTAGACTCTCGTGAGACGGGTCCCTGAAGAGAGACGGGGAAGGGTGTTGTGGAGGGGGTAGGAAGGTGAAGTGGATGGAATAGCTGGATCTGATGATCTCTAGGACCTATCTGTCCGAGGTTATGCACTCCCAGGCACTGCGGAATGCTGTCAAACGGTGGCCAAATGGGTGCATGGTCATAGATAGTAGTGGGGAGTGGTTTCGCGGCGCCTCAACCTGCCCATCAGAAGTGGTGTTTACAGGCAGGTGGTTGGGTCGAGGTCTGAGAGCCCAAAGATTTTTGCTTTGAGAACTTTCCCTTTTTCCCTGGGGCTCATAGTTCCATTGTGACAGGAATTGGGATGAATAAGGCCTCTATTGGTATTGAGAGCTAACTGTCTCTTTTGCCCTGGTGTGTAGATTCTCAGTGACCCAAGAATGGCCCTGGGACCCTTCAATGGAGAGAGGCATCAGTCTTCTCAGTGAAGAGCTTCACGCCTCCAAAGGGGGTGTCCGCCACCATGGTCTGCACCTCCTTTGGGAATTCCGAGAGGTGGAGTCATGACGCCCATTTCATCACCACTGCCATGGAGATGGTCCTGGTAGCTGTGATGGTAGTGTCAAGGGCCGATTACAAAGATGTTTTTGCCACCAGTTGCCCTTCCTGGATGATGGCCTTGAAGGAATCCTGGGAGCTCTCCGGCAGCTTATCAATAAAGTTGTGTAATTTATTGTAATTTATGTCATACTTTGCCATGAGCGCTTGGTAGTTGGCAACGTGAAATTGCAAGGTAGCCAAGGAGTACACCTTTCTATCAAAGAGATCAAGGCGCTTCCAACCTCTGTCATAGGGTGTTGTCCTAGAGTGGTGCTGTCGGCCACAAAGTTCACAGCGTCCACCACAATGGAATTGAGTGGTGGGTGGGTGAACAGGAACTCTGATTCCTTTGTGAGGACATAATATTTCTTGTCCACCTGCTTGTCCAGTGGGTTTTTTGTAATTGTTGATTTTGTTGGTTTTTTGTTTGTTTGTTTCTGGTTTTTTTAGGCACAGCCATATAAAAGCCAAAAAGAAAGCTAAAGGGTTTCTAAAAGCTAAAGATTAACAACTGAAAAGAAGAGTTAATGATCTGCTAACGGACAGCTAAAGGTTCCATTTCTAGTCAGAGCAGTTGAGAAGGCACTGAGGACAGCGCAACAGGAAGAGAGACAGCGCATGTATTGACCCAACTGACACTGTTACCAAAGTTCTCTGATCGGCAGTGCAGGGACACAGACGTATCTACAGTGGAGCACCCGCAGGGACACTACTCAAGAAGAAGTTATTTTCCCCTTCTCATAACACTCAAACCAGGGGTCAGCCAATGAAATTAACAGGCAGCAGGTTTAAAACAAACTAAAGGAAGTATTTCTTCACACAGCGCACCGTCAACCTGTGGAACTTGTCAGGGGAGGTTGTGAAGGCCAAAATATAATAGGCTTCAAAAACAAATTCAGTAAGTTCATGGAGGATAGGTCTAGCAATGGCTATTAGCCAAGATGGTCAAAGACCCAACCCCATGCTCTGGCTGTCCCTAGCCTCTGACTGCCAGAAGCTTGGGCTGGATGAGAGGGGATGGATCACTTGATGATTGCCTGTTCTGTTCACTCCCTCTGGGGCACCTGGCATTGGCCACTGTCGGAAGACAGGACACTGGGCTAGATGGATCTTTGGTCTGACCCAGTATGGTAATTTGTATGTCCTTAAGATTCCAACAAAGGCATGTTCTCTCCTTGTTGCCTTTGTGGGGCTGGCCCTTCCTAATGTTATTGGCCTGCAATCTAGAGGCTCCTACCTCTGCCTCCCTGTGGTTATGAGTATAATGCACTTAAGGCCAATCAGAGCCTTCCATAAAAACACCTGTCAGGGGAGCCAGGGACCTCTGGGAGCTTCACCTTGCCAAGTTTCTTTGGAATCATCCCATTTGGGGGGGGCGGGGGACTGCCCCCATGCAGCAGGCAGTGGTTGTGGATATACAAAAGATCCATGGGGAAATCCTGTGGGTCCCAGGGCATCTAGCGGTCTAGTGCCTCCATGTGGCAGCACAGCCTAGCCCCCACTAGTATCCATGTTGTGCTTGGGCAAACCATCCTCTTCAGTAGGGCTTGCACAGCACAGAGTGGGGGAGAGTCTGTGGAAAGCCCCTTGGGTTTACAGGTAGATGATGCCACAGAGCTTGGTTTATTCCAGCCTCATCCCCACACTGTAAGAAAAGAACAGGTAATATATTTAAATAAATACAAGTAGATAGGTGCCTTGACATACCCAGAATGTTTGGCAGCACAGCAGCTAAGTTCTCCCTGGATGTACCTGAAATAATTGACAAGTGGCTAAATAACTTGGGATCCAACTTTGATAATGTGTATTGTGGTGCATTGAAAACTTGTTAAAATTACAAGCTATCACTTTAAGTTATAGGGGGTTTCCTGGTTCTGCTGGTAGCCTAGGGAAATCTGTAGGGAAGAAGCAAGTGATTACAGCTGCAAAGAGTTGGCCTCTAGGGTGGGGTGAGTTGTGTTTCTCTGCTTTGGGGTGCAACCTGCTTTGTTTCTCTCTGTTTTTGTTTCTTGTGTGTTAGAGTTCTGGATTCTAAGAAATAAAGTTGTGTTATGTTGCAACTTCCAGAAAGAGTATTTTATGTTTTCATCTACCCTTTTGATGTGTGTGCAATGAACATAACACATCTCAATTCATATTTCTCTGCCCTTGAGTTCCTTGGCAGCTCCTTCTAGATCTCTAACAGTAAAGGGCCCCTGGGGAGGGTAGTGGACCTTGAATCTGTCTGGGCTTGCAAGGGAACATAGCACATGTTATGATGGCTGCTCACTTTCTGGCTCATTAGGGCTGATGGGAGGCAGATTCTAGTCCTGTGAGAGCATATAGTGGAGAGGGAAGTGCTTCCACATGGGGAGGAAAGGGAGTAAGCTGGAAAACTGTGGTGTACTTAGGGGTACTTGTCTACACTGAGCTTTTTGCTGCCACCAGACCAGCTCCTTGGTTGGTAGCAATTTTGAGGGAGCTGGTTAGTGTAAAGAACGAGATGGCTTTTTCACCACAGTGCTGATTGAATTTGCTATGAACATGGCTAGACACGTGCATGGTCTACTCCAGAGCTCTCACCACTAATGGCAGTGCCATGGTGGTAGATTCTAGGAACAATGCTTGGGAGCAGACACAGCCTTTTAGTTACAGTGCCTGGTGAACTAGAGACCATTTCCTGGCTGCACAGATGAGTGATCATTAATCAAGAGAGAAACCAGTATGAACTGTGGAATATTTCTGGGTGAATGCTGTCCTTTATTGTATATGTGCCTTCTGCTTTGGCTCCAGGGACAGCAAGACTACATAACTGGGTGCTTTGGATTACTGTGCCCACTATTTTGAACAAGTGATAAAGGTTTACAGGCAAACAGCATGATCAGAAACCTGGGATACTTTAGCCCAGTGGAATCTTGCCTACCCTTCAGGAATGTTAATTGCTATTTAACTGTTCATGTGCCAAAGTGTTCTATGCCCATCTGAAAGCTGCGAGTCTGATTTCTATTGTGTGGAGATGGTCTAAACTCACTCTAGAGGCTGCTTGTCTTCCCCAGTGAACATGGTGGCTGACCCAGACCACCACCCTGCCCAGAGAGGCCTCACTCAATATAATTCAGTCACAATGTGCTTTATCTAGGATCAAATCTCTTTCAAAGCAAATCATTGAATTGCTGAAGATAAAAGTGCAGGAATTGCTGACTATAAATGTTTCTGGGAACAACATGCAAGAATGGAAACTGAATGTGGATGGAAAGCGTGGGGAAAATGTACCTAAAATATTACATCAGATTGGGTAACAAAACTACGTTTGAATAACTGGTGTTTTTGGCATTTGATTCTGGGGCTTTATCTCTGATTTACGAAGGCTATCCCTATTCTTACCAACTCATTCCCAAAACAAAACATCCCAAACTCCTCTAATTCCCAGCATTAGTCACCTCTGACACCACCTTGTGTCTCTCCATATGGCCGCTGGGAAAGCCAGGCTTAGCAGTGGATCTGGCAGAATAATGTCTTCCATTTGGTCCAGATCTAGAGCAAATGGTGAAACCTGGGTGGGAAATGTAAAGTTGGCCACCACATTGGAAATGTTGGGTGGCAATTATGTCCACTGAAACAGGCAGCATAAAAATACATACATCCAAATAAAGGATCACATGATCAAATCTTACTGGTAAAGACAGCTTAGTATCAGCATAGCGCTAAACTCCTCTGTTCTGGCATCACCACGGAGACAGCACTGCTCATGCTAATAGCAGTGAGAATAGCCGAGCTGCCTGCAGGTTGCTTTCAGAGGATATTTTTCCTGCCTGGCATTGCTGGGCCAGGATTCTGTGATTAGGAGAGGTACAGTAAAAAAGAGGTCAAACCCCAAATGAAATCTCCTGAACGAAATATACTGTGACCTAAACAGCAGGCTGATGCTTGGAGCTATAAGATCACCACTCCTAAGACAACAACACATGTCAAATGGCCAGGGGCGGCTCTATGTTTTTTGCCGCTCCAAGCACGGCAGGCAGGCGGCTTTCGGCGGCGCACCTGCCAGGAGTCCGCTGTTCACGCGGATTCAGCGGCATCCCTGCGGGGAGGTCCGCCGGTGCCACGCCATCGGCATCCCCACCGCCGAATTGCCGCCGAAGCCGCGGGACCAGTGGACCTCCCGCAGGCATGCCACCAAAAGCCGCCTGCCTGCCACCCTCACAGCGACTGGCAGGCCGTCCCCCGCCGCTTGCCTCCCCAGGCACGTGCTTGCGGCGCTGGTGCCTAGAGCCGCCCCAGCAAACGGCCTTTTCATTCCAAGCCACCCGGAATGCGCTCTTCACATGGTAGAGTTAGTTGGAGTTAACTTTCTGTGACCTAACTATCCAGAGTGGGCATTGGGTGCCATGGGCACACTTGCAATGCGGTTCTCTGTGGATTTCCACTAGCCATTCCCACTTAGGAAGGAAAGTCCTTGTCATGCCAGAGTACTACTCAGACCATAATATTGCCTGCAAGGGGCTTGCGATAGGACCACTCAGCATAGGAGTTCCATGACTTGGGAAGATAGCTATAGGTAGGGTGACCAGACAGCAAATGTGAAAAATCGGGACAGGGGCTGGAAGGGTAATAGGAGCCTATATAAGACAAAGCCCCAAATATCGGGACTGTCCCTATAAAATCAGGACATCTGGTCACCCTAGCTGTAGGTCAGGTGCAATCCAAGAAATAGGTTTCCAGGAGCATTCTACATCAACTGAGATATAGCCGGCACCTCTCAAAACTATTCCATACCCTGAGTTTTGCTGGCCATCACTGATTTCATATTGTCTATCATAGAATCATAGACTATTAGGGTTGGAAGGGACCTCAGGAGGTCATCTAGTCCAACCCCCTGCTCAAAGCAGGACCAATCCCTAGACAGATTTTTGCCCCAGATCCCTAAATGGCCACCTCATGGATTGAACTATGATTTAGCCTTTCCCACTCCTGTCTTCTCCCCACCATGGCCACATCCCCTTCACCTCCTCCCACTCCTGTCTCCTCCCTCCCTCCCAAACAGCTTCTCCCACTCCTACCCGTGCCCTGCCTCATGAGTGCAGCCTCTCCTTCCCTGCTCCTCTCTCCCACGGCCACCCCCTCCGCTCTGCCTCACAAGCACCGCCCCTTTTGTGTGAGATCCTGGGGTCTGATTGCAGAAACGCTGAGCACTGGGAGCTGGGCTTTGAACCTAGGAAGTGCTATAGAATGTTAAGGACTCGAAAAAACAGGTCCTAGATGTCTCAAATTGAGCACCCAAAATCAGAGGATCCTTTTTTTCCCTTAATCTCTCTGTTCCTCAGCTCCCCAGTTGTGAAATGGGGATAATACCCGCCGATCTCACAAGGGCAGTGTGAAAATAAATTAATTGATGTTTGTGCAGCACTCCAATGATATCATGGGGGGCACCAGAGAAAAGCCCATGAGGAAATAAATAATTCTGTCTTGAGAGGATGGTTTGAATAGTAAATGAGAGCATGGGGCCATCCATTGAAGACTGAGGATAAAACAAAAACAGTTGCTCATTAAGTGAGCACCATCCATCCTGTGCACTGAATGAGGCAGGGGTCCTATGGGCAAAAATAGCATGTGATCATGTCATTAAAGACTGTCTCCTAATGCATACACACAAAGGGGAGCAAATGAAGACAGCACAGGCAATCTTAACTCTGGCATTACATCATTTTTGAGGGTTTGACTTTGTTACCTTAATAATGTTCTTTGAACATAGTTTTGTGTGTGTAATAGAACTATAAATCTTAGGGGTTGTCTGCACACAGGCTGGCACTGAATAACAAAATGGGGTGAATTTCAGACTTGTTATTTCAGTGCCCGTCTGAGTGTGGACTCCCAGAGTTTTCTATTCCGATTTAACTGAAATTGGTTAAGACTCTGAAAGGTGTGAATGACTCACCATCATATTGGCAAAGGTGTGAATACAACTGTCAGTGCTAGTGTGTGCCTTAGCGAATGCTCTTTTTCTATAGCACAGAATATGCGGGATGTGCAGCATTGCTGCCCCCCCCCCCCTCCCGAGCATGCACAACAGGGGTTTGGAATGAGCTCGCTTTGGCCCACTCAGGCTCCCTCCACCATTGGAAAGAGCCACGATGATTAGGGCCAGACTGGGACCTGGACTCCATGCCTCTGCCCAGGAATAATGGGGACTAAGAACTCCTAACACACCCTGGTGCGGACACCTGGCCCTGTGGGTGCGAGTGAACAGAGGGGTGGGGAGTGGTATGGAGCAGCTATGACTCAGCCTCTTGGCCAGATGAGCTGGCCTGGGGTGGTTGCTGCCATTTGCTGATGATCTAGGGCAGCCGCAAATGTTATCTCCCCTCCCTCTCCTCCTCCCCTGTCCCTGGAACAAGGGGGCAGTAGGGAGGGAACTGTGGCTTAGAGGAGGGGGGGGATCTCTGACTCACAAAGTCTCCTGCCTATCCCTGGCTTTGAGCTGTGTTGAAAGGTTTCCTAACCAAGCTATGCAACAAACCAAACTGCAGTGTTTGGGCTGAGTCTTTATACCACAGGAGTCCATGCAATAAGGAAGGCCAAGCATAAAGCTAGCCTGCAATGACAGCTAAGCGAGACAGGGTGTTTGGCATGAGCTGACTGGAGCACTGTCGGTGCTTCAGCTCTGCCTTTGAAGTGCTGCATTATTTAACCTGTGGCTCTTAGTGTGTTTCTGCTTCCTGCAGATGCACAAGTTATCACATTCAGCACAGATCCATGGCTAAAGGGAAACCCCTTAAAACAGAGAATTTCCCATGAGGGTATTACTCAGGAGAAACTTGTCTCCTTCCTTTCAGGAGGTAACAAGCAAAAGCTGGAAAAAGGGGGAAATGGCTTTTGTTGTGTGCATCTGACGTTTGACAGACGCAGTGTGAGCAGACCAAGGCCACTCTGTGATACCCAATGTGGGGAAAGTGGCACTGATAATTCCACGAACCTAGCGTTGTTAAATCCCCATCGTCTTCCTGCTGCAGCTGCAGTGAGCTGGAGTTTAACCACGCAAGCTGTGAATTCCTCGGCGCAAAGAGACCCTCTGCTTCTAAAGGGGCCAATTCTG